GCTCCAGTTTGTACAACAATTTCTGATTTGTAACAGTTCCAGTTTCTACAAGAATTTCTGATTTGTAACAGTTCCAGTTTGTACAACAATTTCTGATTTGATACAGTTTCAGTTTGTCCAGTGGTGAAAAAGGGGGAGCTTCCACATGTGCTCCCCCTTTTTCACTGCACTCACCGCAAAGGTAGACCCCTGTTTCCAGTGCGTCCAACACGCTTTGGTTAGTTCTCCACTCTCCAACATGTAGGATGAGAAGTTTCCCCGTTTGCTGGCTCACCAATCTTCCACATGCCAGACCATGAAGATAGTACCAGAGCTTTGTACTTATACAGACCATAAGTAAATATCCAAAGAAGCTTCCCTTTCTCTTTTTCCTTTGTGGTGAAAAAGGGGGAGCACATGTGGAAGCACTTATCCATTGTTTGTACACGGTGCCCTGAAACTTAAGTAACAAGATTCTGAACTACAGTTGCAAGAAAAAGTATGTGAACCCCTTGGGATTACGTGGAGTTTTGCATGTACATAAAATGTTCTGAACGTCATCTAAGTCACAACAGTAGAAGAACCAGTTGCTGAACATAATACTACACAAACATTAGATGTTGCCATGAATTGCACATAACATGTAAACATTCACAGTGCAGGGAGGAAAAAGTATGTGAACCTTTGGACTTAATAACTGGTTGACCCTCCTTTGGCAGCAATAACCTCAACCAAACCTTTCTGTAGTTGCAGATCGAGACCTGCACAACGATCTGGAGTAATTTTGGACCACTCCTCTTCGCAAAAGTGTTTCAGTGTAGCAATATTCTTGGGATTCTGGTGTGAATCGCTCTCTTAAGGTCATGCCACAGCTTTTTAATCGGGTTGAGGTCAGGACTCTGACTGGGCCACTCCAGAAGGCGTATTCTGTGCTGTTGCAGCCATTGTTTTGTTGAATTACTTGTATGCTTTGGGTCATTGTCCTGTTGCATCACCCATCCTCTGCGGAGCTTCAGTTGGCGGACAATGGTCGTACGTTTTCCTGCAAATGTCTTGATAAACTCTGGAATTCATTTTCCCATCAATGACAACAATCCGTCCAGGCCCTGAGGCAGCAAAGCAGCCCCAAACCATGATGCTCCCTCCGCCATGTTTTACAATGGGGATGAGGTTTTGATGTTGGTGTGCTGTGCCTTTTTTTCTCCACACATAGTGTTGTGTGTTTTTCCCAAACAACTCAATCTTGGTTTCATCTGTCCACAGTATATTTTGCCAGTAGTGCTGTGGAATATCCAGGTGCTCTTTTGCAAACTTCAAACGTGCTGCAATATTCTTTTTGGACAGCAATGGCTTCCTCCGTGGTGTCCTCCCATGTACTCCATTCTTGTTTAATGTTTTTCCTTATTGTAGATGTGTCAACATAAATGTTAGCATGTGCCAGAGATTTCTGTAGGTCTTTAGCTGGCACTCTGGGATTCTTCTTTACCTCATGCAGCATTCTGCGCTGTGCTCTTGCAGTCATTTTTACAGGACGACCACGCCTAGGGAGAGTAGCAACAGTGCTAAACGTTCTCCATTTGTAGACAGTCTGTCTTACCGTGGACGCATTGAACATCAAGGCTTTTGGAGATACTTTTGTAACCCTTTCCAGCTTCATGCAAGTCAACAATTTTTGATCGTAGGTCTTCTGAGAGCTCTTTTCTGCAAGGCATGGTTCACATCAGACAGTGCTTCTTGAAACCAGTAAACCCAACAGGTGTGTGTTTTTTAAGGGCAGGACAGCTGTCAGCAACACATCCAATATCATCACACTGATTGGAGTCAAGGTTGGCTCACTCCTGGCTCCAATTAGCTCTGGGAGAAGTCATTAAGCTAGGGCCACATACTTTTTCCTCCCTGAACTGTGAATGTTTACATGTTATGTGCAATTAAACCATGGCCATCTAATGTTTGTGTACATTATGTTCAGCAGACTGTGTTCTTCTATTGTTGTGACTTAGATGACGTTCAGACACATTTTATGCCCATTCATGAAAACTAATCCCAAGGGGTTTAATACTTTTTCTAACTGTATATTTAAAGCACTAATTATTTATATTGTATATTGTAATGTGATCATTTGTATTCATATGCAGCATTTTTTTTTCTGTTGTGGGAGTTGCATTAAAGCACCATTTACTATTGGGTTTGAATATTAATTTTTAGGTAATTGATACCCAGTTTATTGCATATTACACGATTTATAGCATTGGTATCGTTGCATAACATCTCTCTTTTAGGGGAGAGGTGTATTATAGCACCACACACTATTTGTTTTTGTATTGGTTTTTGTCATTTATTTATTTCACAGTGTGTATTTTTGTGTGGTGTTCACCTTGGCGAGGGTGTGCCTAGTTTTGTGTCCGGGTGCGCCATCCTTGGGAGGACTAATTGCTCTTTCACTTAGGCCAGCCATACATGGGTCGAAATTCGACCGATTTTTCATCCGAAAATTGGACCTAAGAATAATCGGCCGATTTTTTCTCTGTTAGTGGGTCAATGGCACCAGCCGATGTTTGTGGTTCCTCCACTTTTCGGTGATCTGGCATTTTGTAAAATTTGTGAAAAATGACCGATTTTCGACTCAATGATGGTCAAATCGTACGATCATTTTTCCAAAAAGAATATGTGCATGAGCCGTGACCTGGAAGGAACAGAAGTTTTGCCTGTTATATGGGGTGAACTTTATGACTTGGTCGGCCAATTTTCAAAATCATTGATGGCATCACCGGATTACGAAGCAAACGTCTTCAATTTTATGACGAAAAATCGTTCGGAATTAGAACCATATATGGCCTGCATGAGTTGGGGACGTTTTTTTTTGTTTTGCTTCTTGTTGGTTCCGCCTACACACCTGGTCCACTCACATCACGTTAGAGTGCCCTGCAGGACTTCCTAGGATTACCTTCCTTTTTATCCCATTCATACCTCAATCTGATCATTTTTAGAAAGGGGATGGTGTTCTGTAGTATGATATGGCGTTTACGATCTAGGGATGGAAATCCATTCCATAGTGCACTGCAGGTTTCACACACACTTTGGTGAGGTGTCAGCATTATTTAAGTATTTTAGGCACAGCCCTACACCCTTATATTCCAAGTCCTATCAAATGCTTGTTTATCAATACTCTTCTCCATCTACACCTCCTCCCTTGGTCACTTGATAAACTCCCATGGCTTTAAGTACCATCTCTATGCTGATGACACACAAATCTATCTTTCTACCCCTCACCTCACCCCTTCAGTCTCCTCTCGCATTACTAACCTACTAAGCGACATATTGGCATGGATGTCACTCCACTTCCTCAAACTCAATCTTTCTAAAACTGAGCTCTTTGTATTCCCCCCAGCCCGTGCCCCCTCCCCTGACTTCTTCATCAAGATCAATAACCCAATCATCAGTCCCTCCCTCATGCCAGGGTACTAGGTGTAATCCTGGACTCCCATCTGTCCTTTCAGTCCCAACTCCAATCGCTGTCCAAATCTTGTAGACTTCACCTCCGCAACATCTCCAAGATACGGCTGTTCCTAACCTCGGAAACCACTAAGCAATTTATTCACTCCCTTGTTATCTCTCACCTTGACTATTGTAACTCCCTCCTCATTGGCCTACCAAATCGCAGGCTATCCCCTCTTCAGTCTATCATGAATGCAGCTGCCAGATTCATCCACCTTACTAACCATTCTGTATCTGCCACCCCTCTCTGCCAATCCCTCCACTGGCTTCCCATTGCCCACAGATAAAATTCAAAACATTAACAATAACATATAAAGCCATTTATAACTCTGCCCCAAATTACATCACCGATCTTGTCTCTAAATATCACCGAAACCGTACTCTCCGCTCCTCGCAAGACCTCCTACTCTCTAGCTCCCTTGTCTCTTCCTCCCATGCTTGTCTCTAGGACTTCTCCAGAGCCTCCCCCATCCTTTGGAACTCTTTACCCCAATTTATCAGCCTATCACCTACTCTGCTCCCTTTTAGGCGATCTCTGAAAACCAATCTCTTCAGGGAAGCCTTTCCTGCCCTCAGCTAATAATGGAATCTTCTACTCCTCCTACCAGTCCATCCCCCACAGTTACTACCTTTTGTACCACCAGCCTCTACCTCTTAGATTGTAAGCTCCAAGGAGCAGGGCCCTCCTAACCCTCTTGTATTGAACTGTATTGTTGCTGTATTGTCTCCCTTTATATATGTAAAGCACTGAGCAAACTGTTGGCACTATATAAATCCTGTATAATAATAATAATAATAATAATCAACTATAAAGTTCTCTAGACATTCAGCAAGTTATTTCCTCAGCTTTTGCATATTGTTTAGAAATCTTTTCAGATGCCTCTATCACACAGTGAATATGCAAATTCAGCATCTACTACACTTCCGCCTCCTCCTGATAGAAAATTGTGATTAGCAGAAAGCTGTTTATCTATGTATATTATCTTTCATGGCTTACAGGGAATGCTGGGATAAATTTAGAAGCACTTATCAGACACTTGTCAAATGTTTAAAGATGCTAAGTCCCACAGGAGCCTGTCATTATATAGCCATATAAACATTATTAAAACATTAACATGAACACATCATCCCAATAAAACAGTAGCTTGAAATACAAAATGATTGAAAATGTCTGAAATTCAAAGTCACCACAGGCCATTGTCTTCACTGAACATTTTTTGGTTAAGACAAACCATAATGAGGCTACAGCTGTGTACAACAAAAGATTCAAAAGTCTTTGGATGTGGAGTACCACTACAGTCTTTCACTGGGTCTGGGATCCATCATGACATAATCACTACACACTCAGTTGCGCTAATGAATTCTTCAAGAACAACAGTATGAAATACTGTAGGAGTCATTTACAAAAATATGACTTCTACATAAAAGCATATGTCCTGCTATGTTCAATTGAAATACAAAAATTGATCATAAAAGAACATGGTGGCTGATTAGGTTTTAATGAATTCAAAATATAGATATTTCAGTTATGCTGACAAATAAAGGGAATACTTTTGTGGAATGCAAAAAATAATAATAGATGCATTTACAGTAAATGTGGAGTCAGGGTCCGCCAGTGACAAGGTGAGGTTTTTATGCAGGACACTCCAGGATTCACAGTTCAGAACATCAGAAGGAGGAGCAGAACATAAGGTTTGCATTGCTTCTTTCCGCACCTTTAAAGATAGAAAATATATATATTCTGATCAGTAAACATTTTGAAATTAATATTAAAGTAACTTTTTTTTTAAATCAAAGTTTTACTAAACCCAGGACCCTACATTCAATATAGCTGGTCTCCCATAGTACACAGAACATGGAAATACAATTATATTAGTAAACATAAACTGCTAAATACTTTTTCTCATCAGCAATTAGAGCAGTCTTGTGACTTCTATCAGTGTCCAGCAGAGCATTAGTTAAAGCTTGTAGGAGGACTTTTCATTCTCCCCTGATTGTCCTATGTGGCTGCATCACCCCTGACCCTCTGTTTGGATAGCGCTGATTGGTCCTGTGCAGATCACATGCATTTTCCCAAGCTGGTATGTTGGTCCCAGGAAAATGGCACCCATACACACACGTGGGCTCCGGGAAAATAGCATCCGCTGACGAACACATGCTCTGGACTATAAATAAGTTTGCATAGACATCAATTAGCAGGCATATCCCTTTGAAAACATGCGTGCGCACAAAAATGCGTCATTGAAAGAGCCTGTGCATTGACGTTATAAACTAATTTGGGTTATTTTTGTTTCATTAAAAAGATAGATGAATACATTTTGGCCAAGATTTATGAAGAAAGATGTTTATTTGTAAAATTTTATAAGAAAAACACTTTTTAAAAAAAAGTGTGGACTTTTTCATTTATATAGCAAAAAATAAAAATCCCAGTGGTGAACACGTACCACCAAAATAAAGGTTTGTCTGTCTCAAACAAATGCTAAAAAATTCATATGGGTACAGTGTTGCATGACCGCGCAATTGTCATTCAAAGTGTGATAGCACTGAAAGCTGAAAATTGGCCTGGACTGGAAGGGGGTGAAATTGTCCAGACTTGAAGTGGTTAAACAGGGGCAGGAAGATATCCACAATAATTCAAGATGTGGCCACCCAAAACCGCAAAGGATAGATGCAAATTTGGACAGAGTGCAAACCCTTGTTTGATCAGATAGAAGATAGAGTGTGCAAATTCTGGCAGAAGAATTGAACATGAACATGGAAACAGTGCAGTAGATTCTAACAACAGATTTGGGAATGAGAAATATTTCCGCAAAGATGGTGCCTCAAATCTTGACAGAAGATCAGAAAGAATGTTGTCTTCAAATTTCATCTGATCTTTTGAAGAATTCAGAGGTGTTTGATAGGATTATTACGAGTCCATTCTGGAAATAAAATTGGTACACCTTGTACTTCAAGGCAGGTTTGCACATTGCTGGACTCCAGATACAGCTGTCTACATTATGTGCTTGTCATTATATGGATTCCTAGGATGATGCATGTTGGGTTGCACAGAAACCTCTGATTATCACAGAAATGTACAGAGGTCCATTCCTATTTGATTACCATTATAAAGACTCTTCCTGACTTGCTGACTGCAGGTACCTTTGTTGAACAAAGAGATTAATGGAGGTCTACTGAGAAGCAATGTCAGCTGTCAAATATGGAAAATAATTGACGGTTGGGAATTTAGAGATCTAAGCACCCATTTAAGGGACGTCTAATTCCAAGTGCCAAAGGTGTTATGGAGGCATTGAGCGATGAACCACCTCTGCATTTATACAGCAGCACAATGTTTGACAGGCTTCTTGAATATCTATCAGGACAAGAATAGTAATTTACACATACAGCATGATAGTGTTTTACCTGTCATTTGCAATTACACAGAAACCTTGCTGTCAATCTTTGGACTTCCAGTGATTTCAAGAGTGACTACCTGAAGTGTGTGAGAATGAAATATCCATTCCTCAGAGAGATGAATAAAACATATCACACATACATTAATCCACGAGGAAATGATGAACAGTGAGCTGAATTAATCTGCTGGGGATTCATCACCCATATGCATGTGTCCTATAGTGGTACCTTGTAAAGTCAACATGAGAAAAGATTTTTACCTTTTCTGGTTCCCAGTCATTTCATACCAGGACAGTGGGGGAGCAACAGAGTATATTTATCAAGGAATGTTAGTTATTCCAAACATCTAATCAAACTGGGATGGGATATGCAAGGTTAAATTTCATCCCCATGCCCACCAATGCCCAGGAGGGGGAAGGGTTCACTTTCACTGCCTTGACCAGTAAAGCCAGGGGGGGAGTTAACTCTCACTCCCAGTGACTACTAATGCTAATCTGCTGACAGCCTAAAGATTTAATGCTGCTCAGGGCTCTGGGGTTTATCAAAATGGCAGCCTCCAGCAGCAAGAAACAGGCACAATGCTGGAAGACATTAATACCACATGCTAAATTTGGTAGCATAATTATTAATGTGAAATGTATGGGTTAAGTTCCACTTTCACTGTCACACCCACTAATGTGGGGGTGGGGGGGGGTTAACTTTTACTGCCACTGATCACCAATGTGGGGGAAGTTACATTTCACTGATACGGACAATCAATGTGGTGGTGGTAAGGGGGGGGGGCAAATTAAATGCCACTGCCAGTGACTACCAAATGTAATAGGGGGGTATTACTGCATTCACTGAAACCAATGTTCAGAGTTATTATTGCATTCAATGACACTGGTGCTGGGGGCTATTATTGTGTCCGCTAACACTAGTGCTGGGGGCTATTATTGCATCAACTACACTAGTGCTGGGGGCTATTATTGTAATCATTGACAAACAATGCTGAAGGCTATTATTGCATCCACTGACACCAGTTCTGGGGGATATTATTGCATTTGCTGAAACCAATCCTGAGAGATATCATTGGGTTCACCAACACCAAGACTGGGGGTTAACACAGCACCCACTGATGTCAATGTTGGGGGTTATTATTGCATCCACTCACAGAAATGTTGGGGTTATTATTGCATCCACTGACATCAATATTGGGATTATTGCATCCATAGACACCAATTTTGGGGATAATTGTACTCTAACTTCTTCGGTGTGCATTGTGATATGCTGCATTAAAATCCAGCGGAACCAAATGAAAACTTGCAGGATTGCCAAAATAATTAATCCAAAGCACCAAAGAAGACAAACAGACAAAGAATAGCGATTTTTCCATACTCAGATAAAAAACCATAGTTAGACTTATCGGTAACTCTATTTCCAGGAGTCTTCCAGGACAACCCATGAGATATAGGTACCTCCTCCAACAGGAACAGTAAACACCTCACCAAATACACTTTAAAAGGAAGTCCCTCTGCTGAACTGGTCAGTTTTAAACAAGAACTGAAGGATGAAACCTGAATAAAACATATACAAAGAGAAAAACAACATAACACAAGGACGTGAAGCCGGCTGTCCTGGAAGACTCCTGGAAAAAGAGTTACTGCTAAGTCTAACTCAGTTTTTCCCAAATCATCTTCCAAGACATCCCATGAGATGATTAGCAAGACCTTACTAGACTAGGGAAGGTCATTCAAAGCCCAAAGACCTTTACCACCTTTGGGATTACCATTAATAGCATAGATTTGGTGGGCCCAGTTATATTAAAATTCTCAACAGAGAGAAAAACCAAGGAAGGGGACCTGGTTGCAGTGAAAACTCTAAGCCATGTCAGGCAATAAGAGCTCAAAGTTACACAGGACTGATTCCAAAAAATCAATATGCGTAATAAAAAAAGTCAGCTCTAGTGAGGCTCTGGTCAACTAAGGACAGATAATTGCCCTTAAAGCTTATGTGGCCAAAGAAACAAGGTAATTGAAGAACACTGTAGATGAAGACTTGACAGCAAAGGAAAAAAAAACTAGACCCAACAGATCTTACATGGAATGACTAGGTCTGAACTATGGTGATGATATAAAAACACCACCCTATATAAAATATAAGCATATAAGAATATGCTACAAAAGCACACGTCTAGTGACTTTCCACCACTTACATCGTTGTATGTGAATGTGAAAAAGCCCAGTGCCTTGAGAAATACATTATCATTTGGAGACCCATGTTAATCTCCACTGTGTAAGAATAGCAAGCTATTACACAACAAATGTGTTATATGGAGACAACGCTGTTACCCCAAGCTACTGTGCACCTACTGCCACTTGAAAAGACTAAACAGTAGGGTGTTGGCCTAAAATGCTAACTTAACTACAGTACTTCAGGAATATTAGGGGATGCCAAAAATCCACTAGAACAAGCCTCCAAATGGACCCTTTTTCTGTGGAGGGAGTATAGTGGTGTATAACGTCATCAAGGTAACTGCCAACCATAAACAAATAATAGATACATAACCAACTAGCAGTTATGCTCGGTTCACACTACTGTGATCTGAAAGTTGCGCAACTTAAGGTGAGACTTTGCCGGGCGACTTCCTGGCAATTTGCATGTAATTTGATGAAACTTGAGATGCGACTTTCACGCCATGCAATTTTGCCTGACTAATCTTCCTGTAATGTCAGGACCAAATCACATCATTATAGATGAGAATACAACTTGGAGGCGACTTCTATTAAAGTCTATGGGAACAAGCTGGATAGAAGTTGCCTTGAAGTAGTACAGGAACCTTTTCTAAAGTTGGAGTGACTTCAATAGTGCTAATTAAGACAGCTCTCATTGACTAACATTGGATTTCACATGTCATGAGACATGTCAGGAACCTTATGTATTGTTTCTTTATAAATAACAATACAAATAATTAACTGTACAGTTCTCTTCATGGCCTTAAGGTGTGGTAATGCAGCAGAGGAGGCTTTTGTCTTCATTGTGACAGTAGCAGAGGTCTCTATGAGTGGACAAGGAATGTGAATTCTCCAACTTGGAGGCCATGAAAGAAAAAAAAACCCATGGGAGGCCTTAGCTATAACAGATTATCCAGAGAAACATCCAACCTTTGGAGTACCTCTAGAGAACGAGTGTCAAACTGGTGGCAGCTGTTGCCAAACTACCCCAAAGTCCAAAAGGGCACTGCAAGATTGACAGTTACATGTATGACTCTCAAAGGCAGAAGTATGATGGGACTTGTAGTTTCACAACAGCTGGAGGGCCACCAGTTTGACACCCGTGCTCTAGAGGTTGCAGGTGGCAGTAAGAAAAGTTGGAATACATCAGCAGGATGTATAAACCCTGGACCTGAACAACTTAAGGTTCTAGCCATAGTCTAAGTATAAGAGTCCCATGCAAACATAAAGCAACGCCACATGCAAAACCAGTAGCACAAAATGGTTACTACACATCAGGCCCAAGATACAAAGTACAACGTAAAGCCTTAAGTCCAAAAGACAGACTTGTGCTAAGGCTGTAAATTGACCCTGAGACAGAACTCTATCACAGAGAATGTGTATCGCAAAGATAAGCCCCAAATAACCACTGAGGTTTATATAGGTAAATCCCAAGTCAGTGGAGGTCATAGTATACCAGGTAACAAGTCCTCCATCAAGAGCTGTAAAGTTTACAATCAATCCTCTTAAGCTCGGCATTAGTGAGAATAGAAGGCTTTGTGAAACAGGTAGAGATTAAAGTTCTGCCAGCAGAGTTGTGTTAACAGACTGCAGACTGTACCATGTGTAGGAAAACAAGTCAAACACTAGTGAGGCAGCCATACCCAGGTAACAGATAATAGAAACAATTAAAGTTAATTAATGTGAGCTGTGAGCCTACAGTGGATTGGAAAAATTCCCCCACCCCCTTTCTCTTGGGTTTTAATGCATGCTAGTATGCAAATAGACTGATAATTAGTATAACTAGTATGCAAAAACAGACACTTTCCCCTGAATGTCAAGCCTACTAGATAGCCCTAAAAAGAACATCCACATCTTCTAGAGATAATAAGCCTTGAAGATTTAATCTACTGTATTCCCTTACTGCCAAGGCATTAACAACTATACTCACAGAAAGAATCATCATCTTCTCCCCTTAAAGAAGATGAAAATTTTCTTTTGCTAGTCCTGCTACATTAATCTAGCTGAGAAGGAGTAGTGGGGCCAGTAAATCACCACCTAGATCCACCTTCTGAGGAACCCCTACAGCCAACAGCAGCGGAGTAGACGATCTTGGCACTGGTCAGGTTGGGCAGGGGTCTCACATCTAGCCAAAAGAGTGTAAGGTGGATGTCAGCTCACGTTTTCACTGTAGAGAAGGATGCTACAAGCACTGAGGATTCCTCCTTCTCTCTCAGAAGCTATATCCTAAAAAAATGTATTTAAGAGAAGAAATCAGTCAGGATCCCCCCAACTCCCTTGCCCTTGCAGGTGGGGAGTGGGTGTCCATCCCATGTCTGGATCAGCCTGAGTACAGGGGGGGGGAGGGGAACGTTCTCATGCCAAGCTGCTTCAGGCATGGCCTTCACTGCAGTAAATAGAGAGCCCAACAGTGCCCTGTCACATTAAGCCCAACACCCAGGGACCTCAAGTGACCGATACAGGCTAAGTGAAAACCTAGGAGCAAAACACAAGTGAAAGTAGGTAGGTACAGCAAGCTCCAGCTTACCTGTTTCCTGCTGGTGCCAAGAGTGCCTGTATCTGCCTGAGCTGTAGTCTGCATTGATGAATCCAAAATGCAGTATTAGCTACTCCACCTTTAGCGTCCTGAAAGCCTCTGCTGGAGGAAACCACCATTAAGGCATCAGCCAGCCCTTCCTCTTCGCCAAAAATGAGGCTTGGAATTGGAGCCTCCGGTGCCTGGAAAGGACTTCAACTCACCCAGGATTAATGCCCCTGCATCATCTGGTCAAGCAGGAACACAGCCAGGCCATAAACCAATGCAGATCCAGCATGCATCCCCACCAAAGTGTCCTATAGTGCAGACAGTGCATGAACCCAGAAACCCGGACTGGGAACCCACGCTGCCCATGCTGGTCCCTGTCAATGCGGTGTGTCCCTTCCAGACATGGCCTTCTCCAGGCACGGAAAGAGAAAAGGGGAAACAAGCTACCTCCTTCCCATACTGAGGAGAGGTCCTAGAGGGCCATCTTGCAGAAAATCCTACTAGCTACTTCCAGTGGCGCAAGGTAGGTAAAGTAGTGGTTGGAAGAAAAGGATAGCCAGAGAAACACTGGCCTCCCTCACCCAGGTTGTAAGTGATGCATCTCCTCTGTCCAGAGGAAAACACAAAACTGACCAGTTCAACAGAGGGACTTCCTTTTAAAGTGTATTTGATGTTGCATTTCCTATTCCTGTTGGAAGAGGAGTCTATCTCATGGGGTGTCCTGGAAGATAATTTTGGGAAATTTGTGTCTGTAAAATCATTTTATTGCAGTTAAATTCAATTTATGTTGTATTATAGTCATTTCTTTTTGGGAAGGTCTGAAGAAAGGTTTACTGCAGTTTATTATTCAGTTTAGATCAAAGTTACTCAAATGCATGTAGAAGAATATTGCCCCTCTACGATCATGAAATACATGCTATATACAGACCACTGAAAAATCCCACATGAGGTATTCTGGCTCCTTAAAGCTGGCAACACAGAACCAGCCAATCATTGTTTCTGTCTGAAAATGCTTCCTGAATAATGGCAGCGGCCAAGTGACACCCACTTTTAAACAGCAAGTTATTATATTATACATACCTCCTCAGGCTGACTTGGATCTAACTGTTCAGCAATAAGCTGCAGTTGTTCCTGGTTCATAAATGTATAACTCTGCAACAATAAATAAATAAAAACATTAATTCAATGTATTCTCACCAGGATTTATTTTGGTATGAATTGCACCACATCCCCAAACACCAGCATAAAAACAAAAACCCCAAAAAATGCTTTTAGAGCTGGTTCACATGTATGTGGATTGGATGCGGTTTGAACCACATCAAATCCACATGACGTGAAACAACATTGCATCCTATAGTGTCTGTTCACATATGTCTGGTGCACTGGCAGTGTGGATTCAGTGCGAATTGAAAAAGAGTCCTGTCCGATTTCTGAGCAGTGCAGTCCGGTTCTGATGTGGATTACAGGCTCATTGACTTCTATGGGAACCACTTCTGAATTGCACGTCATGAGTTTGTGGTTGCACATGTCATGATTTCTAGATGGTTTTCTCTCTCTTGATCCTGATATAAACCTGACCCAATCCTGATCCACACCCGACTTGTACTGTTAAACACTTACTGTGCCAATTAGCTGTGAAAACAGAGCTTCATTTCACACCGCACATATGGATATGTGAATCTGCACTTAACAATGCTACAGTGTCAGAAATAGAATCACAACTACAGAATTTTGAATACAAAATTGCATATCGTGTAAATAATATTTAAATCATCTTAAAAAGCCATCAATCCAAAGGTATATCCAAAATTACCCTAGACGGAGCAGGGATCTCACAATGTATATTTCACCTCTATCAGACCAGAAAAAGATGTCTATAAATCATACTAATAATACCCCAAGCTCTCTAGAGCATAGAGAAAATCTGCCTAATCTACCTAGAGATGATGAAATGAGGTCCAGTACAGCTCTTGCAAGAGCCCGTAGGCAGGACAAACAGAGAACCTGGAGCTGAAAAAATATGCTCCCTTAAATATGTATTTGAAACTACATTGTAATGCAGGTAGCAATGTAATACACACATACCTGATTGAAAGATGAATCACTGTCGGAACAATTATCAGTGTATCTACAGCTGACTGTTCATGTAGTGCCTTTTTCTGCATTTCTCGATTTTTGGCTTGGTCCTCTTCAAATTTATTGAGTAATGTCTCTACAACAGCCATCATAACATTTTTAAGTGAAAGCATCATCTCTGTGTATCTGAAAAAAAAAATCGTATTGCATACTTGTTATATAACATATATAATATTTGCAATAATACTCTATTTTATTGGTAACCTGACATCAATAGATTTCTTTATTTTTCCTGCTGACCACTGTTGAGTTCCATCATAAATGATAATCTGTATCACTGTACTTTGCTGCAGAGAAGATATTCTCAAAAGACATACATATCAGACATCATTTTTATACCAGTCAGTTCTAATGAAGTCTACGGGGACATGGATACAAACCTAAGATACTGTACATAGTGCAGGTCAATACCCAGCTAGACAAAAAGCATACTGACAACTGTGTTACTTGGGACCTACTGTATACCTGATTTTTTTCACATCTTAAGGTGAAAAAGGTGAAACTGTATCATAACAGAGGTCTGTGACATAATATTTTTCTTAATTTGCTAATTTGATGGTCAGAAGAGCCATGTGATTTGTAATAGATAGGTTACATTGAATGTAAGATGAAGGCATACTGTAGGTTATGTGGTCATAAAAATCTCTTAAGTAATGGAATGTTGTGCTGTATTAGTTGGGTTAAATTGCCATTTGGTAAAAGCAAGAAAGAAAAATGATGAATAATGGGCACACAGAGGAACTCATATGTTCCTGCCAGAAGGTAAATGGGTTTCTTTCAGTAGCCAGTATGCCCTTCACCCCACTATGTAGGGGAAATAGATAGAGCTAAATGATATGAAACTGTTGGATTTACAATATGTCAAACAGGATACCAAAAGTTAATTACTTGGGAATGTACAGTATATGGGAACGGCCATTGTGTCAATGACATAGGTTTGAAATTCTTTTCAGATAATCAAGAATTGATTGACAGGTAAATTGAACATCCTTCTTGAACCTCAGCTTCAGGCAAACTTCCATAGACTAGTGTGGAAATGCAAAACTTGCTTAAAATGAACAAAAGCCTGTTGACACAAGCCCTAAGAATAATTTTTACAAATGGCCCACATTTATTCTGTTAAATAAAATTCTCACTTAGTTAGTATACAGTGTTCTGAGTATACTAGTTGTTTATCTGCCATGCTAATTCAAAGGCTTCAAGTGATTGTAAAGGAAACATTTTGTAATTTTTAAAATAAACATGTCATGCTTACTTGCTCTGTGCAATGCAAACTTCCTCTTTTGGAGTCCCCCACTGCACCCTACCCCCTTTGCACTCATGTGGGCTCAATCCCGAGCCGGGCTCTGTGTGTCCACTGATACACAGAGCGCAGCTCAGCAACTCCACCGGTTCCCTCCTCACAGGCTGTGACTGACAGCAGCAGGAGCCAATGGCATCATAAGGGAAATGCATGAAATAAAATTTCAGGTCTATACAGTGAGATTGTTTCTTTACAATAGGATATGGCTTCCAGAGAACAGCACAAGCATGAAAAAAGTGTTGTAATAAACTCCATTACCACTGGAACTGTTGCAAATCCCTTTCAATAAAACACAGGTGTCAAACTGGTGGCCCTCCAGCTGTTGCCAAACTACAAGTCCCAAGAGGCACTGCAAGATTGACAGTTACAAGCATGACTCCCAAAGGCAGAGGCATGACGGGACTTGTAGTTTCGCAACAGCTGGAGGGCCGCCAGTTTGACACCCCTGACCTAAAATATAAAAAAAGTAGAATTTGTGTAACAAAAAACACTTTACTGGCAAAGGCCTTTGGTGTAATCTGTCAGATATAGACTGGCATGCCTGGCCCTGACAGCCATTTGCACAAAGAAAAAAAAAATTCTATTTTAACTTCAGTTGAATTTTTTTTGGCACAGGTTCCTTTAAACAGCTCTAAAAGCCTCATACTGGAAAAATTGTACAAATAGTTTCATAAAATATACAGTATAAAAAAGTAGAATGTGTGGTGCCTTTCAGACATTTAAAATGACATGCTTAAAGGGTAACTCCACTTTGTGAAAAAAAATGTAGCAACTAAAACAAAAGATTAATATGAGACATACAATTGGTACACAAGATATCTTGTAATTTAATGTCATTAAAAATTACCTTTCCATTTTAATCTTCTGCCACTGTAATTTTCTGTAAAATGCACTGCAATCTGGCAACGTGGAGGCTTTCTGTACTCAGTTGGTATACAGAAGGCCTCCAAAAAAAATGTCCTGCGCGTGTGAAGAACTCTGTACGAACATACAATTTAGGCATCCTCTGCCATAAAAAATGTCATTTTTGGTGAGATACTCCCAGAGGCTCCATGCACACTGGGCATTTTAATAACGCTATGTAAAGTTACTTTAAAAATGTGAGTTTTTGAGTGTTTTTTAGCGCTTTTGTATTAGCTGTTAGTGGCACTTTGCCACGTTTGTTCGTGTTTTTTCGCGTTTGCATTTTTAGAATTGTTTTTGGGCAAAAAATATTTTTTTTACTCAAAAAAAGGTCCAAAAACGCTGGTTTGCTGCATTTTACCACGTTTTGCAACGTTAGAGTGTTTTCTACAGCTAAAAAAACTCCTTTAGAATCCCACTAGTCCTGGGATTTTTTCAAAGCGAAAAAACGTACCTGCCAACAAAAATGTTGATTACAGTCTGTGTGCATGGACACGTAGGATAACATGCTGGGGGGGTTTACTGGCTGTAGAAAAAAACATCAAAAGCCAAAAACAGCCGCTGTAAAAACGTCCAGTGTGCATGAGGACTAATGGCTAATTACTTCTAAAGGGATGCAGACACTGCAACTTTTCTCATCAGAACACTGAAAGTGCCCCGGGTGATATTAATAAAGCAAACCTTCCCATTAGAAACAGTCTGAACGGAACATGGTAAAAAAAAAAAAGAGCTATTCAATCAGTGCAGAAACAGGTAGGAATGCAGCAAATGTTTGTTAAAATCCCTACAATGTACAGTGAGCACCCAGAAGGGTTTTTTTTTTCTTTCACAACAAAAAATGGAGTTACTCTTTAATCCTGGCATCTCTTTTGTAATTTTTAGTTGAATATTTAATTTAAACAGTCATAAAACATTGCACAAATAGTTTCAGTCCCCTGATTCATAACACACATGAACTCATCTTGGTATCTTGCACACAGCAGAGAACTGTATAGATAACCTATTTCCAATAAACCAATACACATTTTTTTTTTCACTAACCATTAATACAGGACACCATTGTGGTGTCATTTTCAGACAGCACACATATATGCCACTAGATGAAGAGAATGGAGACAACATTGTAGCAGCCCCTGGTTCTCACTGCTTCTTGGTGGCTAAGTAGCAGTTTAATTTTATTCACCTGTCACTGTGCTGCACAGTCAATTCCACGAGAAGCACTTCAGCTCTGTTAGTTCCTGCAAGAACCCTGGCACAAATGAGTTTGCTACTGATTTTCTTCTACTCTGGTGAATACTGCCCAGGCTAGAAAAACTTCACTGAAGAAATAACACTTGAATTGTATACCTTTATGTCATTATCTTCCTGCAAATATGTTTTTTTCACCAATTGATATAATTGAACCTACAACTAACAAATAACTGCTTATTTTCTTGCATTTTTCAGTGAAGGGAATGTGGCCATAAAGTTTCAATGCCAAAGTCAGCTACATGTTCATGATGTTACAGTACTTCTCATCAAGGCGACTTTATGATGTCTGGCTGCTGTAATAATGTGGTCAAAGATCAGCAGCTGTCAGAGAACTCTGGTTAACTTTCATATATTCTCTTAGGTTTTACTGAATAATGCAGTCATGGGATTCAAATACTTTTTCCACTCTGTTATTAGCTTTTATGGAAGATGACGGATATGATTGCATTAATTGCCTGATTGTTTGCTCTTTGACTCTGCTCTCAAACAGGCTGGAAAAGAAGGTACAAGCACTCATCATGTAGTAAAATGTTAATTTACAAACCTAGGGTCATATTATCTAGAATAAATGCAAACACCTTATTTATCCCTTAGTTATTTTGACCATAAGAACCCAGAGATGCAAAAACAATATTTAACATAAAACTAAAACATAAATTGCAATTAGTGCTTGCTTCAATGTATTTGCTTGCATGAAGGGATTGTCAATTGCATTAAATTATGTACATAATCTGAGTTTAGATGCTGGAGAAGGATTTTATTTGTGTCATAGACACCCCATAGAACTAGCAGATTGATTTTGGAAGGTAATATCACTAGAATTCCAAATGACGAAGTTGCAACTGTCAAATTTTGGTTACACTGTCAGAAGAGAGATCACTGGAGAAGGAAATAATGTTTGGGAAGATCGAAAGAACCAGGTGAAGAGGGAGACTGACTACTAGGTGGTTGTACATATTAACAACTACAGCTGTGGGGATGACACTGGAGGATCTTATCTGACTAGCACAAAGCCGACTTCTTTTTAGAGCTCTTGTTCTTCAAGTTGCTGGGACTCAGACTTGAGTTGATGGCACTTAATAATATCATTAAGGCATAGATAAATATAGTATATTACAGAACTACGATTGTCTCTTTATCTGGCTCTACTACCTGCAACAATTTGCAATACTATCAAAGGAATTCATAAAGGGTGTCACAGACACCCTTTAGAATTCTTTTGCTGAGCAGCATCAAAAGTGTTGGTGCTTGCAACAAATTCATGTACCTGTCAGAGTATCATGGTCAGGCTGAGAGACCCATAGCTATAGCAATAGAGGGACTCCCACCAACCAGCAGGATAGGTATACAAGCAGGTCAACTTGGAAGATGATGCGGGCTCACCCAAGGTGCAGAGTCGAAGTACTAACCGGTATTCACCAGAGATTCTGATGGGGTGGAGGTTTTGCTGTGTATAAGTACCAGGTCACGGTGCTCAGGTTCACCCCACCAGGAAGTGAGTAAACTGGGGTCCAGTAGCAGATATATCAGGTAGGCATAGAGCAGAAACGTAGTCGAGGAACAAGCCAAAGGTCATTAACGAGTGGTTGAAGGTTTTAGATCAAACAGAAGCGTAGTCGAAGAACAAGCCAAAGGTCGGTAACAATGTGTTGCAGGTTGGGATCTAGCA